ACCGACTGCCTTGACGATGGGGGTTGTGTGATGTAGGAGTAGGTTGGAAGTGAGTTAGGGGATGGTCAAACCAAAACATGGCACAAATCCATGAAGTCACTGACAAATGAACTGAGCCATGTAAGTAGATGTAGACTACCTTGTTGGAGTCTGCAAGACGATACTAACCTGTGGTTGGAGATTTTGGAATGACATCGCTCAAAATCGCTTGTAGTGGTAGAGATGTATCCCCAGTCCTTGTCTTCTCTCTGATTCTAATCTTTTGAATTCACCATGACCATTTTTCCTCTTTTTAAATTTGTTTCACTGAATTTTACTCCTTGAATGATATGTTCAAACCTTAGTCATCTCCATTACCGTTTATTCTTCTACTACCTTCACTACTATGGGATTTAAATTGACAACAGCGTCTCTGCGTACTAAAGTGGCACGGAAACGTGAGCTGATGTACGTACGTATGAATGTCAACATTGTAGCTGACTGACTGAATCTGAGAAAATAGGCCATTGACATGGATGAGTAGCAATTTTATATATCAGTCGTTTAATTTGTTCAAACAACAGACAGATAATTAGATTGTTTTCTTCAGTTACGTCCCCTGTTAATTTTAAACGTAAAAAGAGCAACAATTGTACTAAACTAAGATACAGTCATTTTAGGTACCTACGACCTAAAAACAATAATATTAATCAAACTCACGAACTGAACTAAGTTTTTCAGTCATTATAAACCTGGAAGCAAAGGGTTCGTATGTCAGTGGACTATTCACTAACGCGCATTCACGATTCCACCACACGGGACTCGAAGTCAGGACCTATTGCCTCACAAGCGAACTAGCCTCAATAGCATTCAGCAATTTCCAAACCACTCAAACTGATAATGGCTATAATGATTACAAAGTCTTGATTAAATTCAAGTTTGATGTTTAGACGAATATTTTGACAACAGCGAACAATCATCACAGGAGAATTAAAAAAAAATCACTGAAAATACCATTACGTCATTAAACAGAATGATGATAGTGCAAAGGAAAAAATTCACTTTATTCTTCCCTAAATTTGCACAAACATATAGTAGTGTACAACAAAACTAAATGTTATGTCATATAACAAAAATTCTTTCCATTGTTGACAACCAGTTGTGTGAAAGTTTAAGACAAAAAGTATGATGGGAGTCGTAGGATTTAAGCAACTGACAAGAAACTATAACATAGAATGCATTCATGTTATTCCCTCATGTTAAATTGTTATTACAGAGCTTTCATTGTCATTCTGGTAAACATTTACTAGTACATGAAGTTACACAGATCAATTATCTGACTTACAGAACACGACACTCACGAAATATCTCTCTCTAACTGAGCTGTAAATATTCTCTATCATTTCATTGTTAGCTAATTGAATGAGATTGTTGAGTTGAAATTTTTCACTATTAAGAAGACTTCATTTTATTTCATCAAGAGATTTATTCCATTGTTAATTTGAAGCTTAATCATACAAAGATTCTAGAAAAGATTATGGCAACAGCAGGTTATGTGATCCCTTTAAAGAACTGACTAACTGACAAGAACTCAGAGAAAATTAAGTAATAAGAAAGTGTAATTACAAGTTTTAGGAGTCAGTCAGTCAGCTACAACATCGAACTTCGTACGTACGTACGTACACCAGTTCAATTTGCCACACCACATTAGCACACAGAGAGATGGAATTGTCTATTCAAATCTCATAGTAGTAGAAGTTTTAGCAGTAATGGAGAAGATTAGCGTTCGAAGACATCATTCGAAAAATATCTCACAGAGGAATCAATTTATAAAATATAAAAAAGAGAAAAAACGGTTATGAGGAATTGAAATTTGAGAAAATCTGCGAAAAGAATGAGGATGGATGCATCTGCGCCATTGCAAACGATTTCGTGCCATGTCGTTCAAAGTCTCTAGCCATCGATTACTATCAACTCGCAGACCCCAACCAAGTAGTCTACATCTAACAACATGGCTCAGTTCACTTGTCAGTGACTTCATGGATTTCTGCCATGTTTTTATCTGGACGCCCCTAGCTTTCTTCCAATCTACTCCTACAATACTAAACATCGCTCGTCTAGGCAATTGGTAGTTGGTCGAAGATATAATTCAAGAAGTATAATCCAATGAATAAACTTAAAATAAGTCTTAGGAAACTATAAGTTTTTAATAGAAACCTCTTGAAGTGAACTAAAATTATCAACAGAAGAACAAATACAGATAAGTCTTTATGAAAAAGCATCCACAACAAGCGCTACAAATTCTGCACTGATGATTAGCAGTTTAGGAAGACCAATGAAAGAGCATAGTTCACAAAAGATAATTTGTTCTTTATGGAAATGTATAGTAAATACTCTGATATATTATTGATAATTTAACCAATAAGTTGACTAGTTCGAAAATAATAATAAACAACTATTTTCATCTATTTTGTAGTTCTTTAGCAATAAAACAATCTCAAGTACATGAGACCAGTCATAAAAAATCTTCTGATTTTAACACACGCTTTTTAACCAAAACGTCAAAGAACGTTATTAGTGTTGTTGAGAAAAAATAGAATAACTATTCTTAAAACATGACTTCCTTCTTAAAGTGATTAAAAATATGTACACGTGGCATTGAAAAGTCAGTTGGAATGTTTCAAAATCAGCAGTGTAACCACCCATTATATGACATTGAATAGTTAATTTGTAAGAACAAACTATTCTTCAATACTGAACAGAACAAAACTGTTTGTGTAATTCTGCAACATTTAAATGTTATCCAAGATCTAAGTCAGTGTGTTGTTTGGGTTATGAGAGCGGATGTCACTCTCCGGTTGCTCACATCGTGGAAGGGTATTTTTTGAACAATCTAAAAAGGAGCTTGGATTAGTGTTGGCCTTAATGACCTGGGAGCGTAACCATAGAACCCAAGGGCAACTGCTCGGGGCCGGTGATGCGCTGCCATTTAGTGGCAAGTTTCCAAAGTTTCAGCTCCGCTCTTGTTTAAAGGGCCTTACTGCCGGAAACAGAAATCTGTGAGGTAAGGTGAGGTGCGACATTTTTAGATTTGACCTTTCTAAACCCTTCTTTTCTTGAGAGAAGGCAGCATCGCTGCAGATGCTGGTTGTCCGAGAGACACACCTTACTGCTGTCAAACCCCTCTCTACAGTCAGCAGTACGACTTCGCACTCAGACCTTGAATTACTGATCTTAGTTTTACCGTTCTCTAACTGGAATGGTAAAACCTAAGGGAACATGTTCCATTCCATTCTCATCGTTATGAAACCAAAAAACCAGTACAGTATACTAGGGGGACAGTCTGAAACAAGAAGGAGTATTGTAATGGTGTCGTTAAGTTCTCAGAGTTCAACAGGTTAATTAAGAAGCTTGTTTTATAGTTTTAGACAAAATCAACTTCATGTAAATGCGACCATTTAACTTATTAGACAAGCTTAATATTAGTCTTGAAAGAATGAATAGCACTTGTTGACAGTCGGAAAGGAGACCCAAAGATAGAAGAGCTGATTAATAATTGCCAGTCAGCAACCTGTGATTCATGAAGCGTAACAGCTGTAAGTAATATTACTCCACTACAAAACTCTTCTTCCTAATTGATTATTTCTATAGATTTCGTTGTCTTTATGTGTTGTCTGTTCTATGCTGACTAGTTTTATTGACTGCGCTTTGGTCATCTGATCGTTCATCAATCTCTTCTTCCTTCAGGGTTGTGGAATAACTGAAAAGTTCAGTCTGACTTCATATGGGTACCGATCATCAGTAATTAAATCATCTAGCTCAGAGAACTCACTCAATACCATTAAAAGCATGCACCTGAGCTTCAAATTAAACACTATCATGATTTACTTTCAAATAAATTATTGTTCTGTTGTCTACAACATGTTGTTATAGACCAAACTACTAAAGTAACGCTAATCATTTAGTGTGTGTGCGTCGAGGAACATATACATGAGCGTTTACGATAAGTATAATCACTTGACCGAGAAACACACTGGAAGATAGAAAGACAAAGCACTTTGTGCTTCCATCACACTCAAATAATGTTACTTCTCATTAGTGGTAATCAATACCAACGGAAAATGAATTGAGGCTATCACACACAGTCAGCCATGTGAATTACACTGTATCACATCAGTTTACATTTATTTACTCACATACATAGAAATTACCATTATCATTAATAATGATTGTGGAATATCTCGCCTTATACTTCTCTATTCTTATTAAACGACTACTTTTGTAAACACAGATATAGCAATTAGCGTGTAGTGCTTCCGCATAAACTCAAGTTCGCCCATACTTAATTTGATTAAGCCTTTCGATTAATTTATTGAACCAAGTCATTGGCATAGTAACAACTTACGTGTATCATTCGTTCTTATTATTGTCTGGTTTCTATGATCTGGTACAACTGAACATTGCTTAAGCCTACGCGCTTACTCATCCTTTTCGCTTTAATGTTAATCTCTTAATAATCCCTATGGCCTCACATGACTTGTTTCACTTGCTTTTGACCTTGTCAATCATTCGTCGCTTTTATTCATGTGTGTGCATGCCTATTTCGCTTGTCGCATGTCTGTCTTATTTTTGTCTGACTATATATTCTTAGTCATGCTCTATTTCTTTGAGTTGGCTCATTAGCCTTCTCCAGAGCGCCTCGCTTATTCATTCGCTTCCTTCACCCATTCGTTCGCATTGTAATCCAAGGAGTTGGCTCAACAGCCTTCTCCAATTCACGTCGCTTTATGCGTTTTATTCGCTGCTTCTCCGCTTTGCTTTGTGGTGTGTCCCAAATAAACATATTCAACACTACAAGTTCACCTTCTGATTTATAAACCGTCAGACGCTATTTAGTAACAATTGTCTGGACGAGCTAATCACGAACGAAGCATAAGAAAACGCAGTAAATCGACATACTACAAGCGCGCGCGTGTGTGCGTTAGCGTTTAGCCACAAAGTAACAAACGGTTACATAAAAAGTAGTCATAATTTGTTGTTAAATTTCTTCTCTTTACATGAATATCAGAAGATAAATCTACATACATACATACACACACGAAAAAAGGGCGCGTTTCGTACAATTCTAAAAAAACAAACAATAACAAATAGATAAACAGAGTAACAAAATAATATAAATAAATACACATATAGTTTGAATAAGATTTGGAGAAAAAAACCCGAATGAGACCATAACACAATTAATAGGTTGAGTGTAGAAAGTTGCTGCTGCTGTTGATGATGGTTAGAACAATTGTAAATAAATACGAATGGAATAGTGTAATGTGATATGGAGAACAACGCGGCTGATGGTGGAACGCGAGAGAGAGCGCGCGTGGGTAGTGTGTGTGTGTGTGTCAGTATGGGCTTGAGGGGAGAGTATGTGTAAATTGTGTGTGTGTGGTTATCGATTACAATCGTAGTAAAAATGACTATCTCACTACTATCATGAACAATGATGAATAATAATGCACATGTTTAGGAGATTTGAGTGAAGTTGCATTATGTATATATATTTATATATGTAACAGTGACCAAAACAAACCCAAACATTATAAACACGGAATAATAGTAGTAATAACAGTCAAAATGAAAATGTTATACACAAGATTCGCCGGTGTTCCGGTGTGTGTTTTATATTCTTTTGCTCAATTCTTTACATGTCATACATATTACATTGAGAATATATAATGAAAAAATAACGTATTTTACACAGTTCTTATTTTTTTCGCTTCCAAATATATATAGATGTCACATCCATTAAAGTTTATATTTCACCCGGTTTACCACATAATAAAGGCAAGGCAATAATGCAAGCCAATGGTCCAATATGTCCAATAAAACGCATTTGTCTAAATGTTAAAGAGGGAAGAAGAGAGGAGTGAAAAGAAATTTTAACGAAAAAGCGGCAGTAGTGTAGTATTATATATACTCTCTTACGTACTAGTCTTGAATGAGCAGTCGATATTCGATGTCGTTGGTGTTCGTGGTAAGTACAAGAGTAACAAGGAGAGTGTATCATTATATGAGATAGCGGCATAAAATGCCTTCATGAAAGCAATGCCAGTAGCATTTGGATTTCTGGTTAAAGAAATGTTCGAGATGATTAACAGAAGCGTCTTGACAAGGATACTTGTGGGATCTCGTTTTCTTACCATAGGATGAGTCTACTGCAAAGCAATTCGGCTCCGTCCTACTATTTGGGTATGAAACATGATCGGTAAGGGTAGAGGATATTCGTAGGTTACTAGTATTCGATCAAGGGTGTCTTCGCAGAACTGTTAGTATATCCTGGGACAATCGAGCGAACAATGAAGCTGTTAGGAAAAGGGTATTAGGCCAGGATGGCAGATTAATGAATGGAGTAGTGAAACGTCGTCAGTTAAGGTGGCTGGGACATGTACACCGAATGCCCAACAACTAACTGCCTCGACGAGCTATGTTATGTAGTGTAGGAGTAGGTTGGAAGAAAGTTAGGGGCGGCCAGATCAAAGCATGGCAAAAATCCATGAAGTCAATCACAAGTGGTCTGAGCCATGTTGGTAAATGCATACTACCTGGTGAGGTCTGCGAGATGATAGAAACCAATCTGTAGAGACTTTGAATGACATAACTCAAAATCATTGGCAGTGGCGCAAGTGCACCTATTCTTTGTCTTCGCTCATGACGTCGTAAACTAGGACCCTTTTTTATCTCTTTAAATTTATTTCACTGTATTATACCTTTCGAATGATATCTTCGAACCCTTATCTTCTTCATTACTGCTAATACTTATACTATCTGTACTACTATGAGATGCTGTGTTAATGTGGTATGGCTACTTGAACTGATGCACGTACGTACGAAGTCCTACGGTGTAGCTAACTGACTAATCTGTGGGATCTTTTATCAGTGATGGCAGACCTTCAATAAACAATGCACTATTGGATATAAGAAGCCATATTAGTCAGAGATCATGTTCGTTACTGGAAACTGAAATGCGTTCAGAAATTCATCAAACGATCAGATTATCAGAAAATACCTTAGTGGTCATAGATCACACAGAGAGGTACACGGATGCTGTGAAATGCTAATGCTCTTTTAGATGTGAAATACAGTTATCATGAAGGATTGTTTGCCCTACGTCAAAAAAAGTGAGGCCTAATATTAATCAAAAATTAAAAACAGAACTGTAAACAAAAATGAAAAAGGAGTAACAAATCCTTGAGAGAAGTGACCGCCAACCCTGCATGAGAGTGCTTGTGCTTATGTGTATGCCATGGAGTGCACAAATGAAAGTCTATATACCAATGGTGTGCATGTTTAGTAAGCTTTCTCAATTTATTTGTACTACATATAAAAATAGCTTATCGTACTTTCATTCGACTCATTATGCATAACATTTGTTTCAATACGACTAAGCGCATGTCTGCACTGCACTTCTTTACCTGTTTTCTAATTGGTTGTAAACAGCGACAATCACATATCCACATGTTGATTAATACTCATGAAAAACAGACATTCTCCTCTCTTATTATTTATCAACCTACTCACTCATCATTCACTCTCTAGTGTGTGTGATTCTCATCTGTCCTGTGGATTCCATTATTCGTTAACACTACACACTAACCCCTATAACTCGTGTTCTAATTTGATAGATGGAAATAACCCACTACACATGTGACTCATTAGTAACAGTCAGTGATAGCAACTGCTCTGACAAGGGGTGAATGTACCGTTCTGTACGTCATTGCATACATAAATTAAGACTTATGCGTTACGGATGTACATGTAACGTTATCGTCAAACCTTAACCTCACGTAGAAGACCTTATTCTTGGCGCATGGCCCTCCATGTCGTTATAATTACTCTCAACATAAGCACTGACATTATTGTCCAGAATGAAAACTTCATAATCAAACTACCGCGCTCAGAGAACTCAGCACCATCACAAGAAACTTTTGTATCTGAATGCTAAAACTGAAAACTAAATTTCAGAAGGTGATTGATCGGCTGGGACAACTCAGAGATACCGTGTATCTGGGTCCGCACGCGTACAAGCTAGTTCAACGTCGAATGTGGTAAGTGAGAAATGTGGCTAAACTGTATATATAAATATATGTATTTCATAATTATGATTTAACTAACCTCCAAAAATGCAAAACTTTATCAGTAGTCAATAGTAGGAATGGTACACCCAAATAATTCAAGCATAACATTGCACTTATATTTGTTAGTACATCATAGAAACAATGTAATCCATAGGAACTGAGGAAATACGGCCGAAGATGTTTTCGACAAACTCTGTGTAAATTGTATTTAAAATAGAAAAGATAAAGAAAAAAAATCGAACATTTTCTAATTATTGATTGAATTAATTCATGGGATAATTTCAAATTTTTCGTAATATCACTCATAAAAAATAGTAAGTTATATTTCATCAAACAGAGTTGACATGCTTGACATTTCCACTTTGTTTTCCTGCTTTCTCAGCTTGATGTCTGTCTGAAGTAAGAATGAATGCCTGATATAAAATCATCTAACTTAATTTGGTATTTGGCTTCTTACTACCACAGTCGTACAAACAGGTATGGTCTGTGTGCAAGATACGGAATTGACCAAAAGACTAATGTTCATTGCGTCCAAATCAGAGTCAGATCACAACCATATCTTTTAAATCGTTAATTTGCAAAATATCAGTTCATCATATCGAACTGGACTGTTCCTGTTGCAAAACACCAATCCATTGTCACTACTATTCATGCGTTTCATACAAATTCCATTGTGTTCTAACTCTTCCTTTCTTGATCTTCCCCCATCTTCTGCTGCCAGACATTACGTTGACACTCAGGTCATATACTACTTATAAGTAGCTCGCACCACACAACAACCAGTAAGTAATACAGCCTCCATCAATTATTTTGTGAATGTTTCTTTGTTTTAATCTTTCTAGTATATCCAAACTGATTCACAATCATGTACCAAGCTTAGAGTTGAATGTTTGACCATGTTGTTGCCACATCGGTTAGTATTCAATCCATTGACAAATGCTTTCTTTGATTATCTAGAATCTTTTTTTCTTCAATTTAAGTTATAGAGACCAGAGTTTTTTCCCACTGAAATCATCAATCAATCATTAACTACCAAAGACATATGTTACTGGTATTAGCGGTGCAGTGAGATAAGGGAATGTGAGTAGAGTTAGTTGTGGAGATAAGAGAGGTATGTGTGGGTGTAGGAAGGATTCGATTTCGATTAATTTGGTCTCGTGTGATGTTACTGGTGTGGGGGCGGTTGTCACTTTCCCGGCTGCCCACACAGTGGAAGGTTGTTTCTTGGGGGACCTGAAAGGAAAGATAGATTAGTGTTCGTCTTAGAGACCTGGGAGCGTGACCACAGAGCTCAAGCGACAACTGCTTGAGGCCGGTCACGCACGGCCTTTTCATGAAAGCTTTTTTGAGGATTAGCTTCGCTCTTAAAGGCCCTTAGTGGGCACCCTTACCGACGGAGACGGAAATCCGTGAGGTAGGGTGAGGTATGACATCTTTAGGGTCGACCGTTTCTAACCCTTCCTTCCTTGTGAGAAGGCAGCATCGCTGCAGATGCTGGTCGTCCGAGGGAAACACCTTACTGCTGTCACACCTCTCTGCAGTCAGCAGTACGATTTCGCCCTCAGACCTTGAGTTACTGATCTTAGTCTTACCATTCTCCAATCAAACCATCTGGGATGGTAAAGCCTTCAGGAACATATGTTGCAATCAATATAGCTCGGTTGGGTCATGACGATAGGCAAGCCCGACCAGCACGTCAAGTTAGCAGCTTCGGTCGGGAAAGACATATGGGTGAGGTCACGAAAAAAAATCTAGACTGATCAGAGTTAGATATTAACATAGATGGTCGCAAGCCCAGTGGTGCAGAGGTTAGGCATTCACGCGCCAGACCGAAGGGCCTGCATTCGAATCCTACGTGTAGCAACAACAGTCGTAGACGAAACAGCCGTCCAGTGCTTCCAGGTATCTAATAACTCTATTTGATCAGTAATCGAAGTACAATTTCAAGAGTAAACTATTAATTTGATTATATAAATTATCAATCAATCTATTCATTATGGGATTTTATCAAACAGTTACTCCATTACGAAAATATATAAATACGAACATTGTTTAGAAAGGTTATCCCTATATAAAATCAGTGCTTATTTTTTAGAACTAGTCCACTGATATCGATCAGATAGACAGACACACAAACAAACACAACATGACATGACACATAAATGAGTACAGAAAATTCGTTTACTATTGTTCACTGTAATTGTATATACATATTTTATTAATAATAATAATAATAATAATAATAATAATAATAATAATAATAATAATAATAATTGAGTAGCTCATTTAACTGATAAAAAACTGAATAAATAAAATTTATTGTTAACAATTATATCATATTCATTATCATGATTATTAGAAGTATTGACATAGTATTGATATAATCAGTTAAATAAAATGGAAAAGATACTTTAATTAAACACAAAATACTTTTGCTTTTTACAGGTCATCATCATAGTCACATGATGATGATGATGATGATGACCTTAAAAAAGGAGAGATCTTCCGATAAAAAAAAGTTGAAATAACCATTCAAAAAATAAAGGGATAATCACGAAATGAAAAGAAATTAATGTGATAGAATTATTTTTAAGTATCTATATGTATTTGTTACAGATTTCATTTTGACGATGAGATACTACTGAAAATTATAAAGTACTATATATATAACTGTTTTTAATCCTATATTATACAACTTCTCAACAGTGTGTGCATCTACGGATTCAACTGCGAATCGAACTCCAGAGTGTACGAAACAAGATGTAGAGCAGGCAAACAGTAGGAGGAAAATTAAACATGTAAGATAACGTTTGAAGAGCACAAAATGGAAACTAGAAATGAAAGACGTGGAAGAAGTAATAGTAAAACTACATGAGATCTTGAGAAAACTGAAAAGGATGAATGCATGTCAGACACCTCAGTCAGTCAGAAGCAACGTAGAACTTCGTACGTAAGTACATCAGTTCATGTTGCCATACAACATCAGCACAGAGATAAAATTGTCAATTCAAATCCAATAGTAGTAGAGAGGTAGGAAAGGTATTAGAAGTAATCGGAAAGGTTAGGATTAGAAGATATTATTCAAGAAGTATAATTCAGTGAGATGAGGTTAGAAAGTCAAAACTAGAGTTGTTGAAGAATCCAGAAGATTAGGATTTGAGAGAACACAAAGAATAAATGCACCGGCGCCATTGCAGACGGTTTTGAGCCATGTCATTCAAGGTCTCTAACCATCGATTATCATCTGGCGGACCCCAACCAGGTAGTCGACAACTGCCGACATGGCTAAGTCCACTCGTCAATGACTTCATGGATTTCTGTCATGTTTTGGTCTGGCCGCCCCTAGCTTTCTTCCAACCTACTCCTTCACTACAAAACAAAGCTCAGAGAGGTAGTCGGTGGTTAGGCATACGCACCATATGTCCCAACCACCTCAACTGATGAAGTTTCATAACTTCATCTATTGATCTGCCATCCTTACCTAGCACCCGTTTCCTAATAACAGAGTTTCTCACTTGGGTGTTCCAGGATATACGAGCAATGCTTCGAAGACACCTATGATCAGAAACCTAGACTAATGCTATTCACGGTTTCACATAACTACAAATAAAAAAGAATGACCGAATAAACATAGAATAATCCATAAGGAAAATTTACGAATTCTAAAGTCCCAATCATCATTAATGTATATTTATACATGTAACATGAACATGTCGAAGACAGGAAATAAACAATATAAACAGTAAAAGGGAAGAGAATTAATCTCAACTATGATTGAAATCTAAGCATAAGAGAGATGATACAGTTGGGACGGAACAAATAAGGATATTAACAATGACACACCACTCAAGATATTAAAAGAAGGTTAATTAAAACGAATTCAACTGTATACCGGTGATCGATTTTGCAACAGGTTACAGAAAATTTCTAAGCATTGGTTAGGGTTATTGAACAAGTCTAAATCGAGAAAGGTAACACCTACTACCATCATTCATATTATTAGTGAATGACTTCATTGACTGATTACATTTAGTCAGTTATTTTATTTGAACACAAAAATTGGTAATAAAGGGCACCTGAACATTTATGAGCCATACAAATTATTTAATCTGTAAGTGGGCTGGGATACACTGCCCAAACACCAAAACCAAACCAAGTGGTTTTTCTTAAGGAGCCACACCCCAAACTTTTGACTTACTAAACGTCTAATCCACAAAGCATCATTGGTTTAGAATTAAGGGTTCGCCAACTCCTCTAGGTGGATCCTCCGTATCCCTAACCTAGTTTCATCCTCAGACGTTCGCTTCTCGTAAACAATAACCGAGAGATGAGGAAGCAGTGAGTAGAATTTCCGTGGCAGTGGCTATATGAGAACAGTTCGACAGAAAGAGAGCGGAGTTTTCCAATTCTCAGCCATAGCAAGGCATATTTAGTCAACTGTTCGTTATTAGTCTGTTTTAAATGTTTGACAATGTCAGCTAGCATTGTACCTCCGGTTAGACTAAGATAAGATAAGCTCATAAGATTTTGAATTGGTGGAGATTTGTTACTCATTTCTGGCTAAAGTTTGCGCCAATGATGTAGCTCATAACAACAATAAACTACTCAGCTAAGAGAACAAAACTCCACCAAGTACACTTAACATATGTTTTTTTGGCTAACTCAACAGATGAACGTTTATAGTCTGTCAAATAAAAAAGATGATCGATATTTTCCAAATACCAAACTGTTATATCTTGTTACAATTGCTCACTACTACTACTGGCTACAATCTGATATGATTTACTGAATATATGTGTCTATTGAAATAACTCTATTCTACTAATACTACTTATTTAATGGAACCAATAGCAAGTTCCACAGAAATAGTAACACAAACAAAAGTTCACCATATAAATCATCGTAACACATAGAGAATGTACTTATTAACATTCTGATTTAATAGAAACAATCTAAAGAAATGTTTGTGTTCAGATTAGTTGTATGAGAAAGCAATCCTAAATTGACTGCAGATTTAATCGTTTTAACAAAAATCTATAAACATCAAACTTCTATCAATAATCATTAACCTCTATCCCCTGTAAAATTTTGCATATCAATGAAGGATGTATAAGCAGAAAATAAATATTACAATTGTTCTGTTTTCCTACTTAGGTTTGTCATGAATGAATATCATGATGAAGATTTAACATAAATAAAGAATGAAACTCAATTTGAAATACGTTAGATCAATGTACAATCATGAATCTAAGAGGAATCGTACTCGGTACCTTCAAGTTTCTTGATTGCTATATCTGGAGGAATTTCAGAGGAAAAGGCAAAAAAAGGGTTCAAAAAAGTCCATTCAGCAAACTCTTCCTAACCTAACTCGAAAAAATGGAATATATATTTCATGTTTTTGGCGAATAAAGAACGCACCATTGGGATTGCGGACAAGGAAAGCAGAGGAACCACTTGAGAATAGATGTGTTAATGATGGAGTTCCGTTTTCCGAACAGGATATTTTGGTTGTGGAGCTTTTAGTGTTCTTCACCACAACCAAAACATCCAGCTAAGAGAATGAAACTTCATCAAAATCATCCTCTGAGCTACAAATGTTCTCCCTCATAGAAGTGTATATAAACCAATAGACATAAAGCCAATCAAGAGATTAGACAACCAAATCTCAAGAACTTTAAACAGGCTTGTCAAAGCAGGACAAACATCAAAACAAGATCAATGGAGAATGAAATCCAATGAACCGGTAGTCCAACGTTTGTACACGGTAAGTGGAAGCTACACAAACTCAATATTCCACTACATTTTATTCTATCGCTCCCTTCAACCTCAACATACAACTTATCAAAAAAAATTTCAACAATATTGAGACATTCAGTGGATTCATTCAATCACTCCACTAAATCTCCCACATGATTCTTCGATAAACCTAATGATATTCAAGTTGATAACGACAGAATGACAATAACCTTCGATGTAACAGCCTTATTCACCACAATCCGATCAAACTTCAGTAAATATGACACAACGAATTGAATAGAACAAGTTAACTAGTTGTTCAACTTCAAAAACAAAAAAAAAACAGCACGGAAACGAAGTTAAACTTGTACTCACCTTCCAGCCACTGTGATTAAAGCTGCAGACACAAAAGCTAAATAATAACCTGGATAGAAACCATGCCACATGGCTGATACGACAAAAACTGCCCAAACAGCATAACGTTTCGGCACACGATCATAGATACATTCACGTAACCAACGTGTAGTTGCTGTATTCCATGAATCTAAGATCACTTTTGTATTTGTACCAAGCTTTAAAAAAAAACAAGAAAAGAATATAGAGATAATCTCTTCATGATAGATAAACATTTCTCCAAATTCATATGTATATAAATATATATATGGAAGTGGTTTTCAATGTGTTATGTTATGGGGTATGAGGGCGAATGTCATTTGCCGGCTGCCCACATCATGGAAGGGTGCTTCTTGAGGAACATAAAAAAGAAGGCAGTTTAGCGTTGGTCTTAGAGAAATGGGAGCGTCATCACGGAGCACAACAAACACCTGCTCGAGGCTGGTTACACATAGTCTTTTTATTGGAAGGTTTCGGAGTGTCAGCCTTTCTACTGGAGACGGAAATCCGTGAGCTAAGGTGAGGTGTGACATTTTTAGGGTCGGCCTTTCCTAACCTCTCCCTTCCTTGTAAGAAGGCAGTATCGCTGCAGATGCTTGTTATCCAAGGGAAACACCTTACTGCTGTCACACCCCTCTACAGTCAGCAGTACGACTTCGCCCTCAGACCTTGAGTAATAGCTTTTAGTCTCTTCGTTCTTCAATTGACCTGCCCGCCATGGTAGAACCTACAAGCCTGACCATCACGTTAAGGTAGCAGCTTCGGCAGGGTCAATGTGATTAGATATGAACTGAAGAGTGAGTGAGTTAAAATTGCATATGCACTAAACAAGTAGTTTTTGCAGTTAAAATCTCCAAAAGACATTGTGCCTATAATACAGCAGCACCACATACTGTTGAAAGATTTACACACTTCGCAGTAAGTACAATGCATCGAAAATGTCAAATTGTGTGGATCATAGAAGAAGATAGTCAAAATAAATATTCAAACAATGTGAAAGTACAAGTACCAACAACTAATAGTAATAATAATAATAATAATGATAATAATAATAATAATAATTATTATTATTATTATTATAAAAGCCAACAGAACAGGTAACTAGTCAAGAATGGATAAACATTCTTATAGCACATTTTCTACAGAATTAAATCAACCAATCCAGAGAATGCAACTTCGTCAAAAATATTTAACTCGTTTGACAACAGAATCGCATATTATTTTTGCGGTCAAAAAATCTTTCCAATTGTATACAATCTTCACAAAACTATTATCATTATTATTATCATGATACAAAATTTATTTTAATTGACGTTTTTTTCGATGAGCTGGTTTTCTACGGGATAGGATCGCTAACCTCATCCTAAAGCCTCTTCTTTTAGTTGGGCTTGAGACAGCCAGTAACCCCGGAAGGGATCCAGGCAGAGCCTAGGACCGAGTAGGTTGAAGGATGCTCGTCGGAAGCCTATACTCCATTAGAGGTAACATGGTTAAAAGTAAGCAAGTAAAGTACCAAATTCATAATAATAATAATAATAATAATAATAATAATATTTTTATGGTATTAAGAAATCACTGGATCGATATTTCTTGTAAACATTTTTTAGGTAGTATATAATTACACTGATTATCATCAGAAGGTAGTAATTATAAGCAATAATGATAATAACAATGATTTGTTATGAAATATTGAAGAATAACATACAATCATTACCTGGCTTAACAAGCGTAAAATGAGTTGATAAGTAAAGCAATCACATCAATAATATTATTAGTAGTCATTCGGTCAGTCATCTACGACGTAGAACTTCGTACGTAAGTAGATCAGTTCAAGTTGCCACATCACATTAGCATTGTCAATTCAAAGCCCATAGTAGTAGAGGTAGTAGAAGTATGAGCAGTAATGGAAAAGATTAGGGTTTGGAGAAATTGTTCAAGAAGTAGAATTTATTGATATAAACAAGAAAAGAGTAAGATAAAGGTGATGAAGAAACCAAAGGATTAGGAATTGACAGAACACAAAGAATGAATGCATCTGGGCTTTTGCAAACTGTTTTGTGCCATGTCATTCAAGGTCTCTAACCATCGATTACTGTCATCTCGCGGACCCAAACCAGGTAGCCTAAATTTACCAACATGATTCAGTCCAGTTATCAGTGACTTCATGGATTTGTGCCATGTTTTGGTTTGGCCACGCCTAGCTTTCAGCCAGCTTACACCTACATTACACAACACCTTTCGTCGATGACATATCTCAAAATCGCTCACAATGGCGCAGCTGCATTTATTCTTTGTGTTCTCTCAAATCCTAATCTTCTGGATTCTTCAACACCCCTAGTTTTGACTTTCTAAACTTTTCTCATTTATTCATACTTCTTGAATAATATCTTCTAATCCTATTCTAATATCTTTACTACCTCTTCTACTATTGGATTTGAATTGACAATTATATCTCTGTGTTGATGTGGTATGGCGACATGAACTGATGTACTTACGTACTAAGTTCTACGTTGCATCTGACTGACTGACTGACTGACCTTTCGTCAATGCAGTTGGGGGTCGGACATTCATAACATATGTCTCAACCACCTCAACTGATAGTGGTAGAGGTAGTAGAAGTATGAGCAGTAATCGGAAAGATTAGGGTTTGAAGATTTTATTCGAGTGCAATCTAGTGAAATAAATTTGAGAAGAAAAAAGATGAAGCTCATGAGGAATTCAGATTAGAATTTAGGATAACACAAAGAATAATAAATGTCCTTACTTCAATAGGCAAAAAGTAAATATTAGTAGAAAGACGATATTCTGGTTCACCTTGACTATTGAATCCTGAAAATCCAAAACCTGCGATTAAATTCGATAGGCAACCTTTGAAAAAAAGTAAACAAATAAACATGTACGTATATATGTTTATTCATTATTCAATAAACAGGTCTGTGTCAAATAAGAAGTTTGGATAATTTGCTGAATGCTGCTTTTGATTGGGTTGATTACACTGGATTAAAAGTAAATTGTTACTTAAGTAGTGATATTAAATAACAGCAAAAACTCATAACTTACTTACTTACTTACGCCTGTTACCCCCAATGGAGCATAGGCCGCCGACCAGTTTTCTCCAGCCAACTCTGTTCTGGGCTTCCCTTTCCGGTTCTATCCGATGTTTGTTCATTCCTCTCATATCTTCCTCTATTTCTCGGCGTAATGTGTTCCTTGGCCTTCCTCTTTTCTTTTTGCCTTGAGGGTTCCATGTGAGGGCTTGTCTTGTGACGCAGTTAGGTGCTTTCCGCAATGTGTGTCCTATCCACTTCCACCGCTTCTTCCTGATTTCCTCATCCACTGGAATCCGGTTTGTTGTTTCCTACAGTACGCTGATGCTGATGGTGTCTGACCAACGAATCCGAAGTATTTTCTGAAGACAACCGTTCATAAATGGTTGTATCTTCTGGATGATGCCTTTAGTAGTTCTCCATGTTTCCGCTCCATACAGTAGAACTATCTTGACATTCGCATTGAAAATGCTGATTTTGGTTTCGGTTGAAAGTTGTTTGGAGTTCCAGATATTTTTCAGTTTTAGAAATGCATCCCCTGCTTTGCCAATCCACGCTCTCACATCTGCATCGGATCCACGTTGATTGTCGATGATGCTGCCCAGATATGTAAAGGTGTTAACGTCCTCCAAGGCATCTCCATCAAGAGTGATGGAGATGCCTTGGATATATATATTTAACAAAGTATACATCGTGAACAAACTCCGACTGAAGCCCCTTTGGGACTACTACCAGTCCCAAACCCGTATAAAATAGGAGGATTGAGCGTGGGATTAGCGACTGCACGGCCGAAGAAAACTAACTCGCTAAACTAAAAATGCTAACCAGAAAAATAATTCAAATCATATGCATCCGGCAATTTCCTATCCTTATAAAGTCTTAGAGATCCTGAGTCAATAGAAACCTGATAGATTTTATAATCGTATTCTCAAAACATCGCAACAGTCAAGAGTCGAAAGTGTGTTAACTGAATTGCACTAGCTTAATCACAATGAAGCATTATATTTCCCAATTAGTCATTATCGATTGAGTAGTAATATAAGTAGTAGTTATTAATACCAAACTTGTCTATCCGCCTTTGTGTTGATAGAAGTCTGTTGATCGATCATATTGCAATGTGGCTTACAAATATTAGCATTGTATTATTGATGTCGAGGAATTGGGAACAATCGCCACGAATATGTGAGCCTAGGATTTCGTGTAAATTTTTCACTGTTCAGTAAAACATATTCTCAATAGTAAAAGAAATGATGTTCCGTTCGAACGCCCATTATGTCCATAGCTCAATTATGTTAACTCCAACTAACCATCTAATATAAAAAACACCTATGTATCTTGAAGCTGACGTTGGAGTTTCAGGTTGTATGACCCTATCTGAGTTAGACAGCTTAATTAAGAAGCTTTCGCAATCGTTCTAGATAAAATCAACAAAGGCGATGCAAAAGTGACCTTTTCACTTATCAGTTCGTTCCGACACCCTTCCTTCCGATCTCTACATATTTCATTGTCTTCATTCGTTTTCCCTATTGCTATGGTGACTAGTTTTATTGTCCAGAATAACAATGAAAATTTATCGATTAAACCATTCACGTCAGAGAAAACAATACCACCATCATAACTGTCGATCTTATGAAAGCCGAATAAGACAGATATAGGACAGTTTCTTGTGGTGGTAGTGGTGTTGGGTTCTCTGAGCTGGGTGTTTTGGTTGTGGAGCTTTCATTGTTCTTCTGATGAACAACATCATCAGCACAAACGTCAGATAGAAGTGAAGCATTCGAATTTCTCCACGTTTGATCTGTAGCTTGTTCTGTTAACCTCGATCTTGATTGGCTGTTGTTGCTGACTTTAAGTCTGTCGTTGTTTCGATTGCATCCCCCTTTTGATCTGTTTCTTGATCCTGTCACCTATGATTTTCCTGATTGGTTGATAAATTGGGTCAATGTCGATGTGTTTGTTGATTGCTGATTGACCTGAGTGCCAAGCTTCTAAAAATTCCCTAGTGTTCTTTGTCCCCTCCCTCTACCCAGTATTTCCACATTGTTCCAATCGAATGTGTGTTCATAATTATCGGTGTGTATTGATATAGGCGAAGCGTTGTCGTGGCGTTTGACTGCTAATTGGTGTTCACTTAAACGAAGTTGAAGAGGCCGTCCACTTTGTTCTATGTAGTGTTTTTCATAGTCTGAGCAATTTATTTGTAGATGATATTTGGCTCTTCTTCCTTTGTCATTTTGTCCTTTGGTCTACATAGGATTGACTGAAATGATTCTGTTGGTTTGTGTGCCACACCTATTCCAAATGGTTTCAGTAGTCGTGCTGTAAGCTCCAATAGGACAGCTTCTCTTTGATGCAAAAGTTCCAGACTGGACAATCAATCGAATGTTTAAGACCAGGAACCAAAATTATACTCCTAATTCACAAAATAAGCGTCTCAATTCATCAATGCAACAAATAGAAACAATAAATGTACAAAATCCATTAATCAAAGTGAGTTAACAAATTCCTAATGCTTACTTAAAGTCCAAGCAAAATAGAACCTTTGACGGAAACCAAAACAAGCGATTGACAAGTAGATAAATTTTTGAAAGTAATTCTTTTTTGCAAAATCTTCAGCTGATAAGTAAAAATAGAAGAAAATACGTAGAGATAAATTACTGAAAAATAGACAAGATAATAAATGAGCGAAAACTTTAAAAATAATGTTTCACCTAGTGTAACATATGTCCCCAAAATCTACCATCGCAGTTACTTGACTATACGTTTTCAGGACAGATTATGTATGATAACGATGTAAACAGATAAGGAAAAATCTTAATTATGAATGAATCGTTGTTAGACCACCATTAGAAGCACTGGACGGCCGTTTCGTCCTGGTATGGGACACATCAGTGTCAGTGTGCATCCACGACTCCTGCTACTTGCAGAATTCGAACATAGGACTTGTCAGCAGGAGTCGCGGATGAGCACTGCTGATGAGCCCGATAACAGGACGAAACGGCCGTCCAGTGCTTCCAGGTTTTCAATGATGGTCTGGCAATGATTCATTCATGATTTCAATGCGAAACACTATCTTCATAATTCTATATTTTAGTATTCTTGAAGCAATGTTCATGTATAGCTGAGCTATCAAGTCGATAGTACAAAGGTTAAATGTAGATTACTTGGCACAAATAGTATATTAGTTGGTAAAACTTTTTTTACAATAAAGCCCATTGGTTAATGTAACTCATTTTTCTAAGTACGTTTTAGTGTAATTTCTATAAAAGCTAGTATATCTCATGCACATTTTGCAAACAAAAATATACGGGACACAAATCATACCAGCAAACTATTGATCTAAAATTGAAAGAATTTATCACAAGGTATATCTTCTACTGACTAAATAATCAACAGAAGATTATGTAATATGAGGAAATTATTGTTAGAGTGAAAGTGAAACATCCCGTGAAAAATCTTTATAAATAACAGTACTTCTACATATTATTATTTGCAAACATATGATAGTATAATGACTAACTGACTGACGTACAATACCAGTATAGTAATTGATTGTTTGTTATAGTAATAATAACGTAGTTAGAATAATATTACAGTGTTTAAAAACATGATTACATTACTCAAAGTTTATGATAACATTTTAATGATAAACTTGATGTTGAATCTACACACCACTGGTCAGATGTTACGGAAAAGCCTGAGGTCTATAAAATGAATTCACTTTATATTAGGAAGTTTTTAAATCTGCTTATGTTCAAAATACTATCTTAAGTTGTTCAAACTCAATCTAGGTATGTAAACATTGATGAAGGTAAACTCTAATGACGACCTTGAGGCAATACCAATCAGAATTTAAGGCACAACCTCGTGGACTATCGCGTGAAAATGAAAGCTTAGTGAAGCATAGCTTATGTGTTAATAATATTCACTTAGTGGAAATTGATAAAAATGTCTACCATGCAACCAAACAGTGAATATTGGCATAGTGCTCAGGGCTAAATTATTATAGAAAATACCGGCTCCAGATGCAGATCGTACGTTAAAGTACTTCAGCGCTTAATCAAGGGCATTCGTGTAGTTTGACATCATTTTTCCACTCTAACTGCTGACCCTAAATGTTAACCCTATGTAAGCAAAATGGTTACGCAGTATCAATACATTGCAACTGATGTTAACTGGCCACAAAAACCCTATACATTTATAATCCTGACTTACAACCTTAGCCCAACTCAAAATACGTAAAAGTAAACTTATTTTTCATTACCATAATGGAAAAATCGACATGATTTAATCAGTCATATCAAAACTATTATTCCATTGTAATAATGCTACATTTTATCATAAATCAATTTAGAATAAATCAATATTTCATAATTGATCATTCAAACTCGTCGTCAGTATAGTATAGATTTTTTATCCGAATGCTTACCGATATGATAAAGCCAAATGTTAATATGCAAAACTTTACAAAAAGGTACTCATCATATATAAAGGAGTGAATGATGATTGCAAAATTTGAGTCAGAAAAAAGCTAAAGAACAAATCCAAACAAGTGAAACGGAAAGAATATTATACAATAAAGATGATGTATGTTCAAATTAATCTCAACAAACACAGAATCTACTGTGGTGCGAGCTACTTATGAGTAGTATATGACGTGAGCGTTAACGTAATGTCTGGCAGCAGAAGATGGGGGAAGATCAAGAAAGGAAGAGTTAGAAAACAATGGAATTTGTATGAAACGCATGAATAGTGACAATGGATTGATGTTCGGCAACAGGAACAGTCCAGTTCGATATGATGAACTGATATTTTGCAAATGAACGATTTACGATATGGTTTTCCGATTTTACTGAGTAACTCTGTAATTTCTGTTAAATACAATTCGGTTGCCCCACCTGTGTTCTCCTTCACTACACTACTACCTCAAGTTGTCAGTCAGTCATAATCAACATAGAAGAGCCTAGCATAAACGTGTATTCTCATTCAACTCATACTAAAAATACATTGAGAATACGGTCTAACAATGAATTGGTCTGTATGAAAGGAATACCAAAACTCAATATCTACGGGAAAGCAGACGACAGTGAGTGCATGCATGCATTAGGCGGTACTCAACATATCCAATCATTAAATGTGATTTTATCGCAAGCAGTCTAATCAGATAGTTTGCATCTACCATGATATGACTTACATATTTACTTTGAAAAACCCTAAACTAATGGGTAAACTTGAACTAACCTATTAAAAATATTTGTAATTTGAAGTGGTTAGTCAAAGAACGATTTTGCTTAAAAAGATCATTTTTCAATTACAGTTATGGAGGTCATTGTTTTCACACATTGAAATCATGAATGAATCATTGTTAGACCACCATTAGAAACGTGATCGAACTAGACGACCATTTTGTCCTGATATGGAACTCATCAGCGGTCTGCATTTACGACTCCTGCTACTCACAGGGTTTGAGGACAGGACCTTCGATCTTGAACGCGAACGCCTAACCTCTGAACTTCTGGTCTAACAGTGATTGATTCATGGTCTAAATGTGTGAAATCAATGATTTCCATAACTCTAACTCAAAAATCATAGAATGTCCTCACGAGTGACTAGATTCGTGAGGAAATTCTCTGAGTTCTAGTAAGAAGACGTGATCAGTGGAGTTTAATCCTATCCGGTGTAGGCAGTAAATACTAAAGACAATGGGTGAGGTTGTGCAAAATCCCTAGATTGGTCAGATATAGACACGAACACAGGTGGATGCCGGCTTAGTGGTCCAGAGGTTAGGCGTTCGCACGCAAGACCGTAGGTCCTGGGTTCAAATCTTGCAGGTAACCGGAGTCGTGGTGGATGATGAGCCACTGATGAGCTCCGTAACAGGAAGAAACGGTCGTCCAGTGTTTCCGGGTTTCTAATGGTGGTCTAAGAATGGTTGATTTGTGGTTTCAATATGTTAAAAAGATAAATAAAAGTATAACCTCGCATACGAATACACCAATTTAAGTCGGTACACTTTACAATCATGATCAAAAATTCAAAGATATGAAGATAAACAAAAAGGACAGCTAAAGAAAAGGAAACAAATGAGTGATATGATATTTTAGAGGAGAATTAATGTCTTTGCACAAATTAGATACATACCTCTAGTCACCGTTCCATGTCATGTCGAAGATCCTCATACACATGACTTAGATCAATAGTATATGATATCGTGAACTGATTGATTCACGTCTATGTAACGTGATCCTCCGCTTTTTAATTGTAAACCAAGTAACATTTCATTCCAGCATGACTAACATGCATCTTAGTCACTTTAATTAGTACAAATCCAAAAACTCATTACCCGACCGTAGCTGCTACCTCGACGCGGTGGTCGGGATTGCTTATCGTGAAGATCCGACCGAGCTATATTGGCTGGAACATATGTTACTGAAGGTTCTACCATGACAGGCAGGTCGATTGGAGAGCGATGGGACTAAAAGCAGCTACTCAAGGTCTGAGGGCGAAGTCGTACTGCTGACTGCAGAGGGGTGCAGCAGTAAAGCGTTTCCCTCGGACAACCAGCATCTGCAGCGATGCTGCCTTCTCACAAAGAAGGAAGGGGTAAGAAAAGGTCGACCCTAAAAATGACACACCTCACCCTACCTCACGGATTTCCGTCTCCGTCGGTAAGAGTGCCCACTAATGGCTTTTAAGAGCAGAGCTAATACTCATAAAAAGGCCGTGCGTGACCGGCCTCAAGCAGTTGTCCCTTGGGCTCTGCGGTCACTCTTCCAGGTCTCCAAGACCAACACTAATCTACCTGCTTTTTCAGGTCCCTCAAGAAACAACCTTCCACTGTGTGGGCTGCCGGGAAGTGACAACCGCCCTCATAACCGTAACAGCACACGAGACCAAATTGGTCAAAATCAAATCCTTCCGTAAACTCATTAACCGACTTATACTTTTTACTCACTGGAAGGATTCCAAACTTACATAAAACAACACAGTCTCACAGAGTATCACTAAACACACATTTGTATAGCACACTCCTATTTGAATGACAAATACTTTACGGGTGCTATATATATTATCAAGTTGGCAGATATCATACACGTTTTCAGGATTCGTGCCAAATAAGTAGTTAATTAAATTAGTCAGGTGAAATTTAGTTTTACAAGACTGTGAATGAATACAAATGGGTAGAAAAGTGCGTCTATTTCTTGTCTATGCACAAAATATAAACGCATTTACTGTGTATTAACATACATAAACTGTGTAAGTACACAAAAAAACAAGTTTAATCGATTACCACATTAAGTTTTACATTTTATTTATTTAGATTTATAAACATTGGTATGCAGGGGCATCACACAATAAAAATGAGGTTGTGAAAGGTGAGTTTTATAACAAAAAAATAAAAGTTGAATAGAAATTAGTGCATGCAAGTGACAATAATAATAATAATAATAACGATAATAATAACGGCAAAAGCTGTTCAGTTCTACTAGTTAAAGTTCTCCTTATTCGTATCAAGAATGGAAAAGATACAGAGGGACCACCACTGACAATAAATTCTGAGTCAGATAACGCATCCAGCCATTGTTGTATATAACTGTACAGCTTTCTTCCATACACCGACTATCTCTTCGCTTTATCCAATCAGTGCCATAGTCGTGCTGAGATAGTAAGTACTCAAGTGACCAAACTGAAGCAGGTGTTTTGCTTAGAGGGTCACTCTGTAAGACTTTGACCTGCAGGTTTAATTCATAAGGCAGTTGAGCAACGTCAGGAGTTGCAGTCCTATGGTCGCCAGTGACCGGAAATAGGTTCGTACGCTACTTGTTTCATGAGGATCCTAGAGCCCATATGCGCCAGTGGTTTTGAATCAGGGTCATTTTTACCCGTTTAGAGCGCTAGACAATCGCTTTTCATCCCCTCAACTTCGTAAACAACACCCAAACAACGAAAAGGCAGTGAGTAGGACTTATCTGGCAATGGCTATATAAACATAACTATATGAGAGCGTTTCGAAGGGAGGACAGGACTCTCCTTAACCTTCGCTATAACAGGGCATTTGGTGACCTAGTTCTATATATCTATGACGGACTAATCTTAGTTAATATGAGCAAAAATTAATAAACATTTAAATCAATGGTTTGTGCAACATTGATATGAGAAGTAATTTTTTTAAAGTCTGTGCTATGTATAATACATTGTAAATCCTACTCATCTCGTTATTGGTAGATTTGATTGATTTCCACTTGTGCACTATCCATTTTTTATTGTAGTCAACAACTTCAACTGTTCATCGAAAATGAACTGTCTTCCGGCTTGTTGTATTGGTCAAGTGTAGAAGGCGATTAACTTAAACAAACCATTCTACGAGTTTCCCTCATAGAAAAATATGTAGAGTTCAATCCAAACTTATCAATGACTGATTGTTATGAACAAAGGAGTTATCATTTAACTTCAGAAAAGTCTTATATTGTTTTATTCTAAGTCACCACATAGATTGCACTTCGTTATCCAACAACTAACTGATAACGAAACATGAAACGTAGATTAGGTGAGTCAAACAAACTTTCAGTATTTAAATCGACAGAGTTCTGAATGAATAAGAATATATATATATATATATATATATATATATATATATAGAGAGAGAGAGAGAGAGAGATCGAAAACAAATGACAGGTCGGCATTCTAGCTATTAACCACACTTCATGTATCGAACACGAAAGGCGATTCCCGGGCGATATAAGATGAAATAGACAGTTATTCCAACATCCTGAGATGGCACACAAAACAATTCAAAAAACCATCTCTCTAGATTCTCTATACATTTGAAATTCATATACCTACCTAGTAAAAGTTTATGCACTAAGCTTTATGCACTCTATCTAATGAAAGCTGTCACAGCTGACCACCATCGAACTATAATAAATGGAATTATAATGAGATCAAACTGCTAAAAAATACCTAAAACTTTGACCTGTAGATCCGTCGCTTAATTCTTTTTTATTTTTTTAGTTCAAACATTGTGAATAAATTGACTACATTATCCCTAATGCTGAAAACATTTTTTCAACCTTTCTCGTAGCAAAAGGTAAAATCAACCAGTGAAGTTGTACACTAAAAAGTATGATGTAGTGATTGTTATAAAGGAAACAAACAGTGTCAAAAATTGAATGTTAATGTAGTTGAGACAAAAAGAGTTCTGATAATTTTCATTTTCGCATTAGTTTTGACAAACCGAAAAAAGCTGTGCAAAATTGAAAAACCTATGACAAACTTTAATTTATGTGAAAAAGATGTTACACTTTGATTTTACATAAAGTTACAATTGGTAAGTGAAAGTACTTTTTTTTAAACTTTATTTCCGGTCTTTAATCATAATCATCAGTCAAACAAGGTAGAATTTCCTTGAATATTTCTTTCACAATAATTCGAATAGCCTCATCTCGATTGACAGAGTGATAGAGAGCGAGTTAAGCACTTTGATTTCGACCATTATGCACAACCACCGTGAAACCTATAATGCCTCAAATGGTTTGAGCAACCAAGAAATACTCTTAGATTTCAATGAACAGTACAACACAAGCTCTTTTTTACTTCATAAATGAATAAAAGCGAAGCTGAATCGATGTTATTTTTACTGACAATGTTTAGTTTCAGATATATATATATATATATATAGAACATAAAGACAAGTGATTCACTTGTATCGGTTGTTTGAAATGCACAAGCGAGTGGCCATCTAAAATCAGTAGCTAAGTGGGTAATGCAATGACGTTTAAAGTGAAACATACTACTCTACGTTCGAGTCCCCAGAGTGAACATTTAACCGTGTGACGCAGGTACAACCATCTGACGAGTCTCAAATAGGATAAGACACGCGTCCTGCCTAGAGTCAATTGCAAGCTACTATCCATCTTCGCTAATGAAGACAAGTGTTTGGTAAAGTGAGTTCGGTAAATAAACAGCAAAATAAAAAAATGTAAAGCATTACATGTTCACGACTGATGTGAAATCAGTAATTCACTACGCCTTAATTTTAATTAACTTAGATGGAGATGAAATTAAGCGAAGTAAATAGTGTACATGAGATGATCCAAAAAAAACTCTCTTCAGTTACTTTAATGTGCAATTCACAAGATAACTGACAGTCAGCCATACACTGTATACGAGAGTTAGTTGACGAAAACAGGTTATAACAGGCGGAGTTCGAACTGATGACCTAATAACCGGAATCTGAGTGCTCCGATGTCTGTTATATATATATATATATATATATATATATATATATATATATATATATATCATGATATTTTTTATGTAATCTCAATTAAAAGTACTATTTCTAACATACTTCTGAGTAGTTTAGCGTTCCAAAAATAGGTTTATCAAATATAGAAATACAGTAATAAGTTTTATATGCAAATTATTTTAGTTTTATACTTTTTGAGATTATTAAATAATGTGGGGTGATCCAATTGATACAAGCTGGGAGAGAGTTTAGTCATAACTAAGTGCCTGTCATCGTAGACAAGACTAAATGATGGGTGAGAAATTGTACCACAATAGACGGTATTGGAGGAAGGTGATTAGACTCTTAACCAAGAGGTCTCACTAAGCCTACATGACAAATGTACACATTATCAACGATATGTCTACCAGTTAATTTGGCTTAGTCAATTACAACTTTGAATTTACAACAGCGTCTCAGTGCTCATGTGGTAGTGGCAACTTGTGAACTGATGTACATATGTACGTAAGAAGTTCTACATTATAGCTGACTGAATGACAGCTTTTTAATCAATACTACGTCTTTTTACAGGCATAGTTGGTTAATCAGGCACGTTTGAATCACATGTCATAGAACATAGTATTGAAACGTTATAACGACAGTGAAGAACTTCACGTTAATGACATAAGGAAACACAATAATAATAATAATAATAATAATAATAATAATAATAATAATAATAATAATAATAAATATTTTCAGACAAAAAAACATCAAATCCATGATATAAAAATATGAAATCAACAAAATAGCTTGCTTACATAAAAAATCTTCAGGTTTAAAACTAGAAAAGGACCATATAACCAAAATTGCATGAAGTAATAAAAGTTTCACTTGTTTCCATTTCTCTTCCTATAAGGAAAATAAGAATAGAAAAGTTTGTTTGTTTTTTTTTCTGAGAATTCTCATGTATAGAAGAATACTGAATAAATCGTATTCATATATTGATTGAATAATCCAGATTACCCGACCGTAGCTGCGAACTTGACGTGGTGGTCGGGCTTGCCTATCGTGATGACCCAACCGAGCTATATTGGCTGGAACATATGTTACTGAAGGTTCTACCATGACAGGCAGATCGATTGGAGAACGATGAGACTAAAAGCAGCTACTCAAAGTCTGAGGGCGAAGTCGTACTGCTGACTGCACAGGGCTGTGACAGCAGTAAAGCGTTTCCCTCGAACAACCAGCATCTTTAGCAACGCTGCCTTCTCACAAAGAAGGAAGGGGTAAGAAAAGGTCAACCCTAAAAATGTCACACATCACCCTACCTCACGGATTTCCGTCTCCAGCGGTAAGGGTGCCCACTAAGGGCTTTTAAGAGCGGAGCTAATACTCTAAAAACCTTTCATAAAAAGGCCGTGTGTGACCGGCCTCAAGCAGTTGTCCCTCGGGCTCTGCGGTCACGCACCCAGGTCTCTAAGACCAACAGTATTCTAACTTCCTTTTCAGGTTCCTCAAGAAACAACCTTCCACTGTGTGGGCTGCCGGGAAGTGATAACCTCCCTCATACCCGTACCAGCACACAATCCAGATTAAAAAAATAAACACGATTACTTCTTCTAATCATGGATGATTTTTACAAAAAAGAGTTAATAATAACACCCGACACTGGTCACTCCTTAAATTGTTATCAACATAGAGTCTATTACAAATGTTCATTAGCCTAAGTTGTCATACAAAAACATTATCGTAAGCAGATAGGAATCATACAGAGGTAATATGTTAAGAAGAAAGACTAAACATTGATAGTGTATGTAGGTAACAATGTCAAGACTGGACTTGATAGTTTCAAAGAAATTGAGCATCAGGTGAGAAGTTGATAATAATAATAATAATAATAATAATAATAATAATAATAAGGTTATAAATTTTGGTGATCAGTTAGTCAGCTACAACGTAAAACTTTATGCGTACATACATCAGTCCAAGTTGCCATACTACATTACCACACAGAGATCGAATTGTCGATTCAAATCCCATAGTAGTAGTAGAAGTAGTAGAGGTATTAGCGGTAATGGAAAAGATTAGGGTTCAAATATATTGTGGTGCGCGCTACTTATAAGTAGTATATGACGCGAGTGAAAACGTAACGTCTGGCAGCAGAAGATGGCGGAAGATCAAGAAAGGAAGAGTGGGAACACAATGGAATTTGTATGAAACGCATGAATAGTGAAATGTCAGACAATGGATTGATGATTGATTGAAGATTTGCAAATTAACCGTTTACGATATGGTTTTCCTATTTTACCAATTAACTCTGTAATTTGCGATAAATACAATTCGGTTGCCCTCACCTGTGTTCTCCTTCACTACAATATGATACGAGGTATGTCTTATAAGAATCAATTTTTTTTAAAAAAGACAGTGAAAGAGAGACGAAAAAAACTTTTGGTGATATTCCAAAAATTATAATTATTTTATGAATATCGGTAATGCGATTTGAAAAGAGAACGGAAAGATGTTTATGAAGAAATACGAGAGCACAATGAAATCAGAAGGAAAATAGAGAGTGAGTACATTTTGGGTCAACTTAAATGATTCTGAGCTATTTACTCAAAGTTCCCGATTACTAGTTCAGATCATCTCTTAATGACTTGATTTTATGAACTAATCCCACGTCCTGTTTCGGATAGCCCTACCTCTCGTCTAACTCTCCAGGCAACATTGTGCGACCAAGTAATCAGCGGTCAGGCATATTAACACGTTTCAGCCAGCTTAGAGAAAGATTTTCGACTGATTCCTCACCTTTGCATAGTACTCTGTGCTTGACGTTAATGCTGCCTACCCAGATATTACACTCTACTTAAATAACGCTCCGAAGACGATCTTGATAAAAAAACCTACAGACTGCGATTATTTCCTACTTCGATTGACTACGCTTCATGGTCATGTAGTAATATGGAGTGCACTACTGTGCAATTTACTAGGCTACCGATTATAGATAACATGCTATACAGTCTCCTTCTCGCCCAATGTCGTTTCAGAAAACAAATTATGTTCTCTTTTTTTCATTGCATATCGAACGTTTTCTTTAAGCCTACATGACTATTATTTCGCAGTTGCGTATCATAATATTTTTTAAAATGCTTTTGTGCATTGCATAATTTGTCAGTTCTGTAACTCCAATCAAGGAGTTCAGATAAACCAACAGCTCCTAGTCCTATATAGCTATCTTTCATACATCAAAATCCCATCTTGTAAGCTTATCAAATCTTCTTTTTTCAACCAGTTCCAGTAACACTATAAAAAGTATGTTCTGATAATTGCTGGAATGATATTCGTAAAATATATCCAAACCACTGAAGCCAGTATTTTAAGACAATGACAAGAATTAAATTATCGTTACTGTGCCTAAACACACATTCTTGAACTTTTGTACATTAATACAAATCGAACAACAGATAGGTTTGGCTGTCTTTGGAAAGTCTTGAAATCGATGTTCGCTGTATATTCATTCCTTCATGTTTAGCACTACAAATATTATATTACTTATCATATTTGATTTCTTTAGACTGTGTCTGATGTATAAGTGAAAGTTGGACAGTTTTCAAGTTTGTGTACTTCGATATCTCGGTCAATACACTAACATTTTCGTACTATTACGCTTATTTAATGTTAAATTGCTGAAGACAATTTGTCAAAAGGTTCTGGATCGATATATCTGTTCATTTAGTACTTGTAAGGCAGTTGTATTAGTAATCTTAAAGGGACTAATATTTTTTGAGCTTTAATCTCATATCAATGGGTTACAGTGAGAGAGATTTAAAAACTGAAATAATCAAACTGTAAAATCGATCTTATATAGGGTTGGTACACATAATTAATTAATTAATCGACCAATTAGTAGTAGTAACCAATATTATTTATTGTTTAGTGCATTACGCTGATTACAATTTGATCGATATGTAAAACGGTTCACGAGAAAGGAGACGAATAATGAGCATAATAAATGGACTCAATAAATTTAGAGATATATGGAATGAATTGACTATCATTGCTTACTTCATATTAAGCCTTGGTAGTTTATTAATGAACAGAACTTGAGCTTACAGAAAACTTTTTTGAAACAATAGACAACGAAACAGACGACAAATATTCATCAGAAATGACCATCTATCTAAATCATTGACAGTTCGGAAGTAGGCTATGTTTTAAACATAATATTAAAAGATGTTTTCTGATTTCGGCTACGTCAATGTGCATCTACAAGTTTACTTGCTCATGAGAAGTAGGTTACAATGGCTGTACAAAGCAAGAACTCTCTAAACACATCTCAGAACGCTACCTGATAATGCTTTTATAGGAGGGAAATGTACGACAATTAGTGGTTGAATACGGGAGCCCCTCATCAACTCTCGGCACATTGTACCGATGGAATCTTCCTTCAAAATAATCTTTACAGTGAAAAGAATGGGAGCACAGGGAGGTTGAGTCTAAAACATGCACAGCTGAGTCATTGGCGATTCACCAACTCAAGCCTGAACACAGTGTGCAGTTGTCAGTCAGTCAGATGCAACGTAGAACTTCGTACGTACGTACAATAGTAACATATTTAGCTTTTCATGGACCGAATGCTTCGGTTTTGTTTTTGATTTTTATGATTATTTCGCACCTTTTGTAGACAGTAAACGACTGTTGTCTTGTTTGTGATTTTCTTCATGCTTTTTATCTGTTAAGCCGATCATTACCTTGCATACTCTTGACAAGCAAGTTAGTCACATGTCTCATTGTTTTCTAATCTATCGATCAAAACTATGCATCACTTTTTGACGTAATATTACTGTGGAGTTTCATTCTCTGAGTCGGATGGTTTGACTGTAGAGCTTTCATTGTTCTTCTGAATGACATAAGTGAAAACTTGAGGTAGAAGTGAAGTATTCGAATTTCTCTGCATATGACTCGTAGCTTGTCCTGTTAACCTCGATCTTGATAGAGTTTTGTCAACTGTTAACCCGTCACTGTCTGCCATTTTATTATGATCGAATCACCCCCCTTCGGTCCGATTCTTGATCATCAGTTAGTCTGTGATTTTACTGATTGGTCGATAAACTGAACCAATGTCGATGACCTGAGTGTCAAGCTTCTAAATATTCTCTAGTGCTCTTTGTACTCCCTCTATCCAGTATTTCAACATTGTTCCAATCGAATGTATGTTTACCGTTGTAGGCATGTATTGATGTAATCTATTTCTATTATACTACGAAAATATATTTAACAAATACCTACATATTCCAACGTTCAGTTTAAGCAAACGATTTTATCGACGATTTTCTTCGCTGAATTCTCCTTATTTTTACTCAGTGATGTAATGGGTTTCGTTCAAGCCGAAATAAATACGGTCGTATGTCAGTCAGTCAGCTACAACGTAGAAAGTCGTACGTATGTACATCGCTTCAAGTTGCCATACTACATTACCACACAGAGATGGAATTGTCAATTCGAATCTCATTGTAGTAAAGGTAGTAAAAGTATTAGCGGTAATGGAGAAGATTAGGGTTCGAAGACATTATCCAAGAAATATAATTCAGCGGAATAAATTTAGAAAATAGAAAGATAAAGGTGATGAGGAATTCAGAAGAACAGAATTCGAGCGAACATAAAGAATGGATGCACCTGCTATGTTTATATGTAGAGCAGATAAATGTTCACATACAATCTACCTTAGTTTACTACTAATAATGGTCATATACTTCCTATACTCTTTTCATCATAACTTGATAACCATCAAGTACATTGATTACAAGAATTACTTACTTTAGCAGAACGTATCGCCTCCTTGTTATCTTCCTAAATTAAAAAAAAATACACACCCAATGTTACAAATCAATTAACATAAGAAAAACGCTAAGACACTAATAATGTTAACAAGCCTAATCTTAAAAGTCTCCTTAGAAATAAAGAATTTGAGAATTTTTAGAAAACAAACATTACATATTTTACACTGTACATGACTTAAATGTGGTAACCGATTAGTAATTTTAAGTAAAATCATATTTTTTACTCATTAGCTTATTCTGTGACATTATTTATTTATTTATTAGTGGACACTTCATTTACATGACACAAACATTTATATACATATTTTATTCTTAATTTGGTCAAAGTTAGCCGACTAACTTTGGAAACAACGGACTAACAATAAACTTATTAAGCTCTCAACTATAGCTGTTACCTTGACGATGCGGTCAACACTGACCACTGTAAGGATATATGATCGAGCTACATTGATCGGAACACTAAACCTTCGGTAATAAACTATTTTTCAGGATAAATATTAGGGAAAGTTGAACATCCTGAACGGCTCTATCTGCAAGTATGATTTATATTTTTACTGTATACATATTGGAAACTTAAACTATTTCACTTTCGAGCTGTAGTTTAGAGCGAAAACTATTGTTGTTTCACTTTTCTCAATTTATTGCTAATTTATGGCACATACATCGCTTAATCCTCTTCTACTTATGGTGTACTTCTGCCTATATCATAGTTTCTTAACTCTGATGTGCGGTCAGAATTTCGAACGTATTATTGTATGAGTGATTCATACAATCTAACTGTATAGTTAGAAGCTCTCTGTTTGCTGAATTTTGTTCTATTCTGGCCATAGAGTGAGCTAGCGTGAGGAACTGGATTCAGGACCAACAGACCATTCAGTATTACTTCTTGCCTATTTTTCTTACATTTACTATGCCACAGATTGTAAATAAAGTCTAGGACTAGATCAATACAACTGTCTTGTTGTCTCAGTCCGATCTCATGAGTACCAAATAAAGTAAACAGGAAAACATGTCTATTTTCTTCGAAACGTTACCGGCTCAAACAGATTAATCAAATGGCAATCAGCTGATCGGAAGAACGAGAAGAAACACATACTGACATATATACGTGGGTATGAAAGTATGATTTTGCTAACGCATAACCAAAAGCTCTACTACTGTTACCTCCTTAAAATTGAAAATTGAGGGGATAGAAAAGATCAACGTTGAAAACAAACTCCTGTTTTCCTACAGATTTTAGATGCGAGAAAGATGAAGCTGACATATCAGAAAATATCCACGAAAAGTTTGCGGATACTAGCCTCATATATTTTACTCTTAGGTTTTGCAAACATGCTTCCAGATAGACAAGATATTTATTACCAATACCGTTACTTTTTCAGATCTATGAAGGATACTGCAAACATCTATGATGGCACCAAAGTTCATTCAACAGCAGTTTCTTAAAACTCTGAATATCTATTAGGGGGATAACAATATCTCTATTCGAAAGTTTGATTATTTATAGTAATACCAAAATATATTCTCTAACTGCCATATTGAGTAGTATGGAGTTTGTTGTATATTACTAAATGACTAAATTGTATTTATGGAAAAATTACCATGAACATAAAAACAAAACATAAGCACAAATAGTTATTGGAGAACATATTTGGCATGCGAGTTAGGATGTTAAAAAATTTCTAACTGACCATAGATATAGTAAGTACTATTAGTTTATGCATCAAGCATGCACTATTACTGTAAACATCAAATTTTAAGACTTAAGAAGTGGTTTTGAATTACTAAATTCAATGAACGTAAATGAAAAGAAAATCAGGGATTGTAGAACTTACAAATCGCTTTTTGTCAGTTTCATTGAAGAGTTGTTCTGATTCTTGACCCTGAATAAATCTCAAATAATCAGCAAAAAAGTTGAACGGCCCAATCATTACATTATGAAACGAGAATAAGTATCCACCCAGTTGCAGAAGACGAGGTCGACGACTTGGCAAAGTAAACAAAAATTGAGTTGTCTGAATGACCAAATAATTAGTTATCACAAACCATTACTACGTAATTAAAAGTCAAATTAACCAGAAATTAATGCGTCAAAAAGTAATTATATATATATAAGCTTAGTAGTAAAGATGGTACATAGTATTTATATACGGTTAGGGACGTAATAACTACCTACATTCATGGAAAAAAACATCTTGACCATATTGAGTTAAGCGGTAGAAAAAGGCAGAAATGTGCCTCTAGTAAATTGGCTGTTTGGAAGCCGTATAATCTAATTACCCTTCGGTTTATATACCTGAACTAATGATATTAATCGACAACTCACAACAAGAAAATGTACAAAGTCAGTGAGTTATTAATATCGTAACGTACAGATCCAGTGCCTTAAACATCAAATCCCATGTGTAAGAGAAGTGGTGTGTGAAGCAAATAGTGATGGTATATGGGGCGAATATATTGGTTAGTACACCGAACCATAAGATGTTTATTTTGGTAATCAATCTCGAGTCATGCATGCAACTAAAAGATAAACAAGTTTTCATGTCCCATGCAAAAAAAACGAAACATGCTAGGGAGGCCTGAAGCCCTAACTGTGGTTCCTTGTGAGTTTTTGGTATTAACAATTGAATCATGGGTAGCATCCACTGAATGTTTAGAACAACAGTAAGTAATAAACACATAAATTAAGGTAGGATCATTACTGAGGCCTTATGGTATAAAAAAACACTAATATCTAGACTTATTCCTACTTAGTAGAACTAAAGACTAATGAACTAGATAACTTTCTAGTAAATAAAGGAAGATGCATAAAAAACAATACGACAGACATTCCAGCCCCAACGATAATTCAGGCCAACCTAACAATGGAAACTCACTCAATGGCATGAAGCCTGTGATAGTCTTGGTCAACTGTTCCTTCCTTCGCCAATTTTACTCCATCGTTCATATTGAAAGCCAAAGATGACAACTTTTGAGTTTGAACCATTAGAGCCCTGGAAACAGTCTGTTAAAAAATATCAACATACGCAGTGATATCGATTTTAGGACTGTACAAAAACCTGTGAATATGCACTGAAGACAAATATGACATTGAGAAGATTAAAATGCCATACTGAGCAACAGACAACGGAAGGAAAACCATCATCAGGTATGCTGGTATGGCTTGAGCAAACATATGAATAACTAGACTAAAAAAGGTAAAGTCAGTTAATGGGAATTACGATCCATAAGCGAGATACAAAACCAAAAGTCCACTGAAGAATTCAAAAAGGTGACGGCGTTTGGAATTTTTTGTACATGGTGGCATGCATTTTTGCATTACACAGCCGGAAAGTAGTGTCAAAAGTTGGCATGTCAAGAATCTCCACTAAATTTTTTAATATTATATTGTGAAAAAGTTACATGTTCCGCATCAATGACAGTGAGGTATCGCGAAATATCCATGAAAACAGGAAAACACGAAAGATATAGACCGCGGGCGAAGCAAACACCAGCCTTAGGAATTTTAGCTTCATTAAACGCATTCAAACCTTCAAATTTGTTCAGAGGAAATCAGAGTTAAAATGATAAAAATAATTTTTTGTGGCTACAATTTTTTAGTAAGGTGTTTTTACTGGATTAGGTTACCGAATCCGTGCTTAATCCTCTTTTCCTGACATAGGTAAAACAGTAACCCTGAAAGAGCTCCAGGTGGACTTGACGCTTCAGTAACTTCATTTTTATTCCTTACAGTCATCAAAGTAGCCACAGAGTCTGGAAATGGTTACCCACGCTAGGTACTAACAGCGTAATTAAACTAGATGTTCACACCATTTCCGATCAACACTTATTGGCCACAAACACCAATACTAGTGATTCTGAAATACATTAGCATGTGATAGCAATACTATAGAGTAAAGCTGAATCTTATACAATTTTCGTTTTGACCTTTCCTTTATAACTTTTCTATATTTGTCTTCACTTCTTTTGTTGAGTGTACACACACATTTTGTTTGATTCGCAATTATTGTTACCAAACTGACCATAATTTCCGAATTGAAGTACCATCATGGATGTTTTTAGGGACGAGACTATGGTTTTACCTTTGTTTAATTTAGTCCATTCAACTTCAAAGACCAGGTTTTCCTGGTGGGATAAATGATTGATCTTTCGAAAGCCAGGACAGTTCTTTTTCTATCTTTAACGGCTAACATCGGAGATATTTAACTAGTATATTTTTGCTCTTTATGATCAGAGGATTATTTCTGTGTAGGTAAGAGTTTATATGGCTTCTTAAATTAATTGTTTTCTATCACCATTCTTTTATCGCTTTCTGTTTTGGGTTGACTGTGTAACTGCTATTGTGAAAGAGATTGAACATAGTGAGGAAGGCCACAATAACGTATTTAGCGGCAAATGAATCCCCAAAATAAAGTTCCGTAGGTCCTCGAGATTGCTGCTGGCCTCACCATAGTTGAGGACAATCAGTCACGCTTCTTCACCAGATCACTGTGGGTAGGCCATGCAGCGCATCGTCAATGGTGATCTAGGTGTGATCTGGTACACTCAACGAGAATGTGTGAGGTTATTCCCTATAATAACGTGACATGTGTTTATTTAATTGTGAACTTCGTAACTTCATTCATACTTTACCCTGTTCGCTTACTTTTACACATTCTATTCTTATCACTCTGGAACACGCACTTAAGCTTCTTACGATTAAGACGCATGAGCCCCAGGCATTTCAATTCATGCTGTTTTGGCCTAACAACATTGAGGCCTGGTTCCGCTGTGCAGGGGCAGACTTCCACATGCGCAGAGTGATGAACTCATATAATAATAATAATAATTTATTCTCAAATAACAAACATGTTACAAGAGACATGCTAATTTATAGGCAAGATCAAAATGTTAAGATTAGCAACATATTTCTTTTAAAACGGTATACAGTTACTGAAACATTTCACAAGATTCATTGGATTCCTAAGATGGAATGTACAATGCGAATAATTGGCGCAAGTTACGAAGGTTGCGTTACGACAATCATCTTATGGACTGAGAAACGATTCATAGTAGCGATAGGTTTTCATATAACAAGAATTGATGCGGTAAGTGTACAAAGGTCTGGTTGATATTCATCAGCTAATGATTTCACATGTTCTTGGGTAGGGTAACCAAGTCTACTGCAAATATCCAGACCAGTATATGAGGATTGGAATAAGGTTCTGAAAAAAGAGAAATAAAGAAAACGGGATGAGGAGCGGAACAGAAAATATTCTTGTTCGAAGCCAAACAACGGCTTCGCACGTACGTTTATGGATAAAACAAAGGTATGTTTACTCAGACTTTGTTAATATGCACAACTCCTTACAGTTAAACAGGTACGTTACACCTAGTATATTCATTAGTGATATTTCAGACATTTTAGAAAAAACCGTTCTCAAAAGTGGAGACCAATTCCGATGGACAAAGTTTAGAGTAAATTTTCCACAATATGGTTTGGGCAAACTAATGTTACTAGTCGAAGGCATTTCCTAACTATACTTTCTGTCTGAACTTCCCCAACTGGCGCAAGTTGTATTCGTCTAATTTCAATGTAATGTCGTTGATGCGCTTATTACATCTGCTGATTGAATTCTGGAGATCACTAGAACCTCCATCTTTAAGGCCTTCGTATTATAATTGTCTGTTTGCTCAATCTTCAGCATAATCCCGAATGATCAAAGACGACCCGAGCCCATCTAATACAATGTCTGCTTCTAGACAGCGAGAAACAGATCACCGCAATACTTATAGCACATCGTCCAAAACGTTCATGAAGCCCTGCATTTTCTCTTGCCCTAAACCATCTGTCACAAACATTCCTGAAAACTTTCCCGCCGACGCGCGTTAATATACTTGTTACCGATTGACAAAGCAGTCTTCTGAATACCATTGATGTGAAGACAATAATTCGTTATCCCGTAAACACTGGCACAGAAGTTTGCGTCCTTCCAGCGAACTCAAGTGATCAGCTACACGATCCAGCTTTCAGTCAATCGCGAAGTAAGGCGGAAGGTAGGCTTACCTTTACGTGCGTTCGCTCAAACAAGTGCACTGGATTTCCGTTGAGTCAGGCGTATCAGTGCCAAATATTGTTACAGACTCCCTACATTGGGAGTTTCACCTGTCTCTTTAAATATCTACTTGGTCTAAGTGTATAACCAAATACTTGTGGCAGCAGAAGTCATCTCTAAAACAACCATCATCACTTCTCTGGACTCCACGAATTTTTGCGCAAACTTTTCGATTGAGGAAATGCTACTCAAATTATTTACATTCCCATCGGCGAAGCGTAATTGACTCATTTGACACAGAAATCAAAAGGGTCCAGAGGAAATAAGTAAACAGTATTTGGCCATCCTTATTTTTCTCATGACGGTTGCCGGACAGCGAATCTAGATGTAGCACTTTTGGTGGAGAACTCCTGTAAATACATTCTGTCATTAGACACTTTCAGCCTTGTGTGAGGCCATCCTAAACTATTTTAGCTTAACGGGTCATCTGTTTAATATATGTCTTATTAATGCTCGTTCGATCTGTAATAAAAAGACAGATCTAGTCATGTTTGCGACTATGTGCCAACCGTCACATTATGATAATTGAAGCATGGACTTCCAGTAATATTGCTGATCTTACTATAATGATCTATTTCGCAGTGATAGGGTACAGGGAAGAGGCAGAGGATGCCTCATATATGCTCACTCTAGCCCAAAATCATTCTTATGTGATATATCGGAACTAAACAGATTTCCAGATTCTGTATGGATCGTTCTGAAACCCTCAAATGCAGTTTCCTTACTGTTCGGCTGTGACTACCGTCAGCCTAATGCACCAACAGGAGCTCTAGCATTACTGTCAGAAGTATTCACATTTGTTTCATCCCAACCGTTCAACAGCAAAGCTTTTTGTGGGGACTTCAACATGCCTGAAATCTCTTGGTTCCCAATCAAAGCACCTAGATGATTCGAATCATTTATTGAATGCTTAGGGCTTGGAGAGTGGACTCAACATGTTAGCGTCCCAACCAGTTATCAAAATACATTGGATTTTGTTGTCACCAGCAATCTCATTCCTCATACTGTATATGCTGGAAAAACGTTCCTAAGCAGCGATCATAATATGGTCATATGCAGCCTTGATATAGGAGCTACAACTATAAAACGTAAATCCACTACACTTTCGTAGGATTGATCGGGAAAACGTCCGGAATTGCCTCAGAAGCATGAGACATGGTTCCAGACTTCATAACTGTAGTGACTTGTCCGCATTATTAACGATGACTGAATTATGTGTCGAGGCAGAAATAACACGCACTAAAAAGGTAATTGCACAAGAGAAGCGTGCTTTTCAGCTGAAGAATGAATCGTACACACTTATAAGACTCCTTCGAAATAAAATTAAATGCTCCAAAGTGAAAGGGGGTAACATATTTATTAAGGACAACCAAGTGTATGAAGACCCTAAAAGTATCGCAGAGCTGTTTAGGGAACATTTTTGTGCTACATTTGTAGATGGACTTTCTACCGTAGCAGTTCAATTCGATTCTAATGGACGTATGTCGAACGCACCTTCCCTTAGTCGAATATCAAAACACAATAATTCTAGGAGAAAGTGGTCTATTTATATAAAAGAAATGGAAATACAAACATTTACCTGACAATTATTACGTCTTCCAAGTCGAAATTACTCTGATGAGTATCCGAGTTCAAAAGACTAGGTGAAGCTAGTATACTGCGACGATATCAAATCTAAAAATATGTCTGTAGCCATATTATATATCAAATCTGAACAGTATGTGTACAGTTCAGAAGCAAACATAAAAACTCCAATATAAGTACAAAATATAGAAATAATATTAATATACAATCATAAAATCTCAAAATGGAATCAAATAAAATACCAAAATGTCAACAGAAAGAGTCAGTCACACACCCAGTCACACAGTCACACAAATATATAAACATGGAGGGATTTTCCAAAAAACAAAACATTCAAAAAGGATTCTACAACATTGACAAACGAAAATCCAACAAATGAATCAAACGTGCCTCAAATTCCTTCCTGTGAAATCGCCAGTGTTGAATTTAATGTGCAAAATATTTCTAAGGCGATTACTACTCTGAAGCGCTCTTACATTGAAGGACCAGATGGCATCTCAGCAAGAATGCTGAAAAATGGGAGTAATTATCTCTGTGCTATTCGTCTATTTACTATTTACTGTTTACTATATCACTCTCCACAGAGTGTTACCCTACTAACTAGAAGACTACACATATCACCCCCACAATTAAATCTGGGACTACAGCGAATGCTGAAAATTACCGACCCATCAACATAAATAACTTCAGTAGTATCTAGGGTGATGGAGAAAGTAGTTAAGTCAGTGGTAATACAATATCTACTTAGTAAAAATCTGATATCGACCTCGCAACATCGGTTCTTGAGGACTAGGTCCTGTGACACGTGCCTGCTAGATTATTTCAATGATATTACGCATAAACAAGACAAAGGGCTTCTAGTATC